GTGGCAGCGTGGATTGATGATGCAGCGCTGACATTTGACGATCAATGGCTGCCTCACGATCATTGTTTTGTTGAACTACTGGCTTAAATATCGGTTATTAAAAGTGAGGCCATAACTGTGGAGTAGTTGCATGATTTAAATAGTTTGAAAAGGGGCAGACTATAGGATAATTGCAAATCCTATTAATATCTGCCAATAAACAACAAGTGTGAAGTGCAGACGCTTAACAAAGTTGCTGGCTGGTAATGTGGCTTCCTCGTGTCCACGGCAACCGCACAATAACACCGCTTGCAATCCTCTCTCATTCGCCCTGGGGAGGGGTTAGAAAAAGTCGAGCTGTAAATGTTCCCTCAATGAAAACTATTTCGTGAAAGCCGATGATGATCGGCTGTCTTGTATGCTTAAACAAAACATCAGAACGCTTCTTCGTATTTTATTTATGTTATTCGCTAATCGGAACATGATTAGTTGTAAATATACTCATAAAATTTTAAACCATTAAAACTATAAAACTAACTAAGTGATAAAAATATTTAAGTATCTAAAACATTCCAGCATTAGCAAAAAATCTATTATTATATCCGTATATATTATATTCTATCCGAATTGCACTTTAAATAAAATTATTTCTTAACCACAAGATCATTGATGCTAGGATTTTTCCTTCTATCTGCAGGGTAGCTGGAAGGACTCATATCGTAAATCATAGTATTTTTTTCATACTAGACACTAAAGAGGAGTCGCGCTTAAGAGCTTTTCTTGGTGACACGAATGAGCCTTGCACTTCGGTTAGGCATCGCGTATATCACAAATACTGGTGCACTTATGACTCCTAGCCTAGCCGTGCTCCGGGCCGAAGACCACCACTGTCCTGGATGTAATGGACCATCATGATTCCTACCTTCCGGAACGTAGCCTTCTACACTTCTGGACAATCATATCTCAGCCGTGCGTCGAACCAGCCCTCGGTCGAACGGACACCCGTCGAAGGACGATAAATTTTAGAACAGAACTATGCTATCTGAAAGCTAACTTCAGATGCGGTGAACGTAAAATTACGTAAATTAACGATGCCTGGAAGTCATATTCGATCCGCGGCCTGGTGGTGCACGGCAGGTTTTATGCAAGGCCGGAGGAGGACAAAGCCGAGTGGTTCACGGCTGATTGGTAGATGTCCGGAGAAATCTAAGGCGTTCGATTCAGGGCGTATTTGTGCACAAAGTTGGTGGTGCACGGCTGCGCTCCCCGTGCTCTATAGCCACCGCATGCGTTCTTAATAACAAGTGTCCAGCACCTGCCGATTTCATTGAATTAATTAAATCATAAATCTGGAAAATTTCATCCAATTGTATATTCATCCTACAAATATCAGTTGAATGAATATGATGGTGTCTCGAACGAGGAGGGTGCTCCAGAATTTAATTTAAATTCAATTACTTATATTGCTGAATTGTAAACACAGATTCCAATTAGCATATTTTGACTAAAACTTCAATCGAATTTTCATTGCGCGCGCCGTAAATGTTGCATACGCCACAAATTTATTGCATTGTAAAATGTAGTTTGAAGCAGAACCACTGAATGGTAGGTACAATTTCATGAACTAACAAATAATGACTAATTTATTAAATGTTTTTCATTTTTTATGTTATCAAGTTTATACTGAAGCAACAGGGTATAAGAAATATTATTTACATTCATTCTTCTTAATAATAAAACCTTGTTTGAAATTTCTCATCTTCCTACTGATTACCATTCGACAGAGGCTACGTTTCACTCCAACTATTTTAAACTTGATTAAAAAAGATAGTGTACGGGAACTACATTAATTTCCATCCTTGACAGAGATTAGGCTGGAAGTTGTTTACGACTCCGCAAGTCTTAATATCAAGCAATAAATTTTGTTCGGGAAATTATTTTATTTAATTTAGAATTTTCCGAATACATGAATATAAAGTGTACATTTATTTAATAAAAGAATAAATTTGCGAAAAGAAACTTTATGTCGAGGATCGGGCATCAAGGGTTTTATGGGTTTGTTAATCAGTGACTGGAAGAATATTTTGGTAGGTCAAAATATTTAACCTGAGGAAGCGAATACACTCCAGCAATATAAGCACAATTACATATTAATTCTGCACTACACAACCAAGAAATAGTGACAAATCTATGAAACCAGCTGATAACTTTAATAGATAAGCTATCATGCACCTGCTGGCTCATGAACGTGGTATTCATGCTCTGTTTAGAGCACCGGTCCCAGAGTGAGGTAATATATTGTATTTTATTATTAATTGTGATAAATCGCAGATGTAATAAAATGTTTTATCTTTTACCTTTTTGTAAACAATTAATGTTGACAAAATTTCGGAAATATTTTACGTGCTGGGAGAGGTGTGTTGAAATGTGGAAACAGAGGTAAAAGTTTAGAGCCGCTGAAATATTATAAGAAGCCAAGATCTAAACTTTCAGTCTCTCGCTGCCCTTCAATATCGTGAAGTGGACGTCAGGATAAGAAACGCGTGTTCCGCTGGCACCTAGAGTTTGGAAACGTCGTGTGGTCACCGAAATTTGAAAAAGACAGAAATTTAGTAGAGAGTGTTCAAAGACGCGCAACAAGGATAGTTCCGGGCTTGAAAAGCAAGTCCTATGAGATGAGGAAAGATTAAAGATTATGAAGCTTCCAAGCCTCCGTTATCGACGTCTGCGTGGGGACCTCATTGAAGTATACAAGTATACTCATGGCTTATACAAGGTCCCAGAAGGATTACTAGAATTTGAAACAAGGACCAACACCAGGGTCCACGGCTATAAACTAAAAACACAGCGTTGGAACACATCCATGCGACAAAATTTCTTCTCGCTTCGAGTCACCGACATGTGGAACAGCCTCCCTGATAGCATCGTTGAAGGATCCCTTGTGAATCAAGTCACGAAAAGTTCAAGAATCGGCAACAGGCCATGGGCCTATTTCTTCAACGCCGACACTTCTATTCTATTCTATTCTAAGATCTTTACATTTTTATTATCCTGTATCAGTATACGATCTGCTTGTACAGTGAATTCGTACTAAAAATTTTCACTAATATGAACAGACGATAAAATTAAAATTGAATTTAGCGCGGGTCTAATGATTTATATACATCAGTATTTGCATGACTTCTAAGTCAGTTGACAATTTAGAACTGATTAGTCAAACTGGGGTTCGTAATTTGAATTCAGCGCTCGGGTATTTGATGTGAGATGACAAGGAGCTTATGTGGTCACATTATTTTAGCTCTCAGAGTGGCTCTTATTTGAGCGAAGACGGAACGAATGTACAACGTAGAAAAATTATTTGTTATTTATTACAACGATACAAAATGATTCCAGGCGAACAATATCATCGAGAATACACCGGACGAACCTTCACATGAGCTCCAATGTTTTTAGCGCATTTTCTTATTTATGGTAAAACGGCGCTATTATGCTCATGTCCGTCCGTCTGTCCGTGATTTCACGTTTTCGTCGACGAGAAAATGCGCTCTCTGTCACTCACTGCAGCGAGTACTGAGTTATATTTTTTCAATAAAAGGCCGATCAAATGAAACTTGCTTGACTTTCTCTCTCTTTTTGCTATATCAGATCTGATAAGTTTCATTTATAGATTCGAGTGAAACGTTTTATTATTGCAGCTCCCATTACTGAAGGACTTTTTAAAATGAATAACCCAAACGGACTGATGTTCTTTTGATATTAAATTCATTTTGCACAACTTTTACATGATGCCACAATATTCAGCAGTTGGAATGTATTTCCACACTTGAAGTCAGCTAACTTTATGGTTACAAGCGATTGTCTTTTTCAATAACGCATTTAAAATAATATTAAAACCCTTCTTACGCACCTCTCAGTTACTCAGCTGCAAGAAATTTTCGCAGTTTACTTATAAAGATTTCAGCCATACTGATGATAACAATAGAGGATGATAACGCGTTTTTCCTTTTTTTGCAAACATTATGGGAAGATCTAAATGGCATTACACATATAGTATCCTCTGAAGAAACGAATATCTTTGTTTAAGGGAATTTTCACTTTAAATACGTTTAGTAATACTGGATGAATTTAACAACGTAACTTCTAACTCAAATAATAATGATTGAATTTTCATAGTTATATCGCTTTGTGCATCATTATAGACTTAGCTTGGATTTCAGACAATAATGATAACTCAGGAGACAGTATTTTGCAGGAAGACCTCAGGTCACATTGTAATTCATAATTTATTAATTCATAATTAACCTGTAACTTCTCATGTGGGTCAGCGTGTGGATGAACAATCTAGTTTACTTTATCGCAATATTCTTGCCTCTTCAGAAAATTTATGTGCTGCATTCATGGCTGTCTCAATTCTAATGTTCCAGCTTCAGGTGAGAATCATAAATTGACGTATCTTTACAGGTACCTGAATACATGAATACCGAGAACAGATTTCAAATCGCTCTCAATATCTCAAACATAAGATAAGTGCATCGTGGTCAGCAAGTGGTTCTGTTGTTCTTACCTGACACACTTTGGCACGAACGTTTAATAGTCAGTCTCTGTCATGTACGAGCAAATGCAACTGCATTGAGCACTTGTACGCTGCTCATATGCTAGCTAAGTCTTATGAATATTGAAAACTAATTCTGCTTCTAAAAAAACATACGAAAGATAGATTTATAGAGTTATGTGTGGTTAACGTGCAAGTTGATGTATCTAAAATCTATCCATTTCATCATTAACGGGGCATAATATTGACTAATGAACATATTCAACAAAATACGAGGGCAAATAATAGCGGTTTCAGCGTTTATTAGGCCGTGGGCCTGTCGCCGATTCTTAACATCGCATAACATTCACAGCATTTTGCGGTCTCGAACTCGCAACTCACTGCTACAATTCTGCTGTGCTTAACCGCCCGGCCTCCTTGCCGATTCTGACCAGAAACTGGCGCACAGAGCTGGGATCGAACCCGCGCCTCTCTGCTCCAATCTTGGTACTCTGAACTATAACCACTGGGCCATAGTGCATCTACCAGCAACTGCCAGGCAAAAGTAACTGCCACGTAAAATAATAGACAGGTGTTTAAATATAAGTTTAAATAAGGACTGCATGGCCCCAGTTAAAATATCCCTATACATCAGGAACCACATGTTTCAAACGAATAACGATAATGACAAATTTTTAGCCATTTCTGTTGAACCAAAGAATGCGTGCTTCATTTTCGCAATAGAAATCATACACTCCGAGTCATTTTCTATAGATGAAAGATAAGAATCCGAGATGACATTCCGCCAAGCCTGATATATTTCTGAGCTTTTCTTCACGGTGCTCATGGCACCAGTCACATCCTGCTTTGTGTGACTCTCGAGGTACTCCACAGAGGCAGGGGGCAGTACTTCACTTCCGTACACAAACTTGAATATTTCTTTTGTCATTTTCTCTGGGTCTCGTGATAATTTTTCGTAGTTTACTTGCATCAAATTTCCAGGGTAAACCGGCGACAATGATTCATAGGAAGTTAAGTCATCATTAAGGCCCTTGCACCACATCGTGTGATTCTTGATCCAGTCATCACCAAACCTACTGAAAGAATTCATAATACCTCTAGGGTCTCGGTATAAGTGCACGATCTTGAGATTTACAGACTCTACTCCAAGGAATGGTTTGAACGATCGAATACGGGCTCTCACAAGCTTCATAATTCTATTCTTGCTCTCCAGACATTTTTTTCTAATGTCAATAGCGTCATAACAAATTATCATTTCACTTTTACTCTCAAGCAAGGCACAGCGCTGTGTGTCATCGCTGAAGTATGAAAGGAAAAGATGTTTCCCGTGCAACCACTTATCAAATGTTGAGTCGATATTACAAATAAACTTATTCATGATAAAATTGGTCACAAAAACGTCGTCCTGCATCTCTGGCTGTAAGCGAACCATGTGCAGTGGTTCGAAGAAGTAAACCGAAGAGTTTTGAGTGGCCAGAATTTCGCCTAAGAATGTCGAGCCACTGCGTGGCGTGGAGCTCAGGATCAGCACAAACAGCGGATCTTCTCCAGCTGCGACATCTTTCCGGGGCGTTGGAAAAGTGAAGGGAGTTAGCACTTTATTCGATAGCGCCTCTTGATCAGTTTCTGGAAGGTGATGAATATTTTTAATTACGAGTACCTGGAACTCAGTTAATTGTATTTCATTATTGGAATTTTCATTTTTAACGAAACTTCCAGAGTTTCAGAAATAATGAACAATATGTTTGTAGAAGTGAAATTATTCGTTATCAAATATGAAACATGACAGAAAAGTAGAAAAATATTCGTAATTTGTCAATTGAAAAAAGGAAAGCCTCCGGCAAGTCAAATTATTGTATGTTTATGAAACATATTAGTTTCGGCTGTGATTCGTTTTGAATTGTTAGAATCCCTTCTTGACTAGTTTTACCAATTTCAAGAAAATTCATAAAATCACTTACCACCAAGGCCCAGTCGTCTTTGTACCATGGAGGCATATAACTGGTTAGCTGAGTGGTAGCTCACAATTAAAAATGAGAGTGTGAAAATCCCGGTAACTGGCAAGCGAAGCGCTTTCGTGCATCTGAAGAACATTTTTGCACGTTTCCAGCATTAAAAGTTTTTTATTTTGTATGATCTTTAGAACACAACTGTCCAAAAAAAAAGCTAGAATCAGCTTGAAATCTTGAACGCAATGACGAGTCAATCCTCTGTTTGTATATTTGATTAATTACAATAGTTCACACGAAAATGAAAAGCATTCTTCCTTCCCAACGGTTTTACGCACGATTCACGAGACCAAAATAAAGCTTCAAAGTGGTAATTAATTCTGTAATTGGTTGATAAATATTTTTGAAAATTATCAAGTTGGCACCAATGACTTATGGTATCGAAACATTTCCATACAACAAAGAAAAAATACTAATAAAAAAATCACTAATGATCTAGCTTGTTTGTCATATATGGAATGACGCTGGAAAAACTTATTGACAGAGTTCATGTATATTCCGCGAATCGCCATTGTCGAATAATGAGACTAATATTATAGCAATGAAACAAATATCTACGACATTTCAATTATGTATGTTTGATGGCACCGCAAGAAGCATCGAGAGGCTGAGGTGAGGCTGAGCTAGTGAGGCTCTACAATTCTTAACCCTCTATCGCCTGACATGAGTAACCGGAGCAATATTGTCACGCGCCTACTTCCCAAAAAGGATACGTTCTAGTGAGCGCAAAATGACTGGCACTGATGGTTGCTGCCACGTACGACAACTTTAAAATGTTCTCTGTTGCGTACAACCGTCTTCAGGTTGCTACACTCAACAGTTTACGTATAATTTAAGTTCAAATAAGTTATGTTCCCGGAGAGCGACATACGGCGGTAGAGGGTTAAATTGTGTAAATGCCAGCTGGGAATTTTGCGGTGAATAAATAGTAAGAATGCCTCGAAAAAAGTATCATATGATTGACAATTTTATAACTGAAAATGAAAACTTATATGAATACTGAAACGAAATAAATAAATCCTTCATTTTGAAAGTTTGAAACAAGGAAATTTTCTTCGTCTGGGAGCCCACCAGGCGCTAATTTTATTGCAACCTCTTAGACTTCAGGGAGAGCAACAGCGCACAAACAAGAGTTGAAATACTGCCTGTCTCTTGAGTTTTGATTTGAAATAAAAATATTTTGAACACAACATCTGTCGCCTCTTATTGACCCTTCAAAATATAGTCATTTGCAAGCAGTTCCTCCAACACGATCTGAAATCATAGCAGATTCTATTAAATTACACGTCATAAATCATTCTGTCCCTAATTGATTTGAACGGATATACTTTTTACAAGCACATTGATAAAGTGCAGTAGTCTAGTAGAATTACTGATATGTAACACAATAGTACATGAGATTATTGAGACTGAGTATTACGGATCATGGGTGTAAATGAAATTGAGCTCAAGTTCAGCACCACAGAATGGTTGCTGTACCACAGTTTGGCACCACATGCAACACACTGGCTTCCTTCAACTTCTGCACCACAGAATGCTTGGTGTACCACAGTTTGGTACCACACGCAACATACTGGCTCTCTTTTCAACCCTGACTCGATTTTACTTGGTGCGGTAAGAACAAGTGTTCCGGCATCAGGTAGAAGTGCTCGATCCGACCGGTACAAAACATGAAAATTTAACGGACTATCTAACAATTGACCTATGGACAAAAATTTATGCCTTATAGAATGTGGATAGAATTCTATAATATAATTTGAATTAGATTACCTACAATGTCGGACTGTTCACAAAGATTATGTGAAGAAATATATTGTTGAATATTGAATTACTATGCAGGATCTACCCGACCTCAGTTCACAATTCCGGTGTTCACAACAAGTTGAACCATTCTGCTTTGATCTGACTCCAAAAGATCTTGTTGTAATAATTAGTCAGTCGTCATGGTTACAAAACTGATTTACACTAATTATTCTCCTTATATCACTCAAATCTTCAAGCTTCCCAAAAGTTGATTATCGAATTTATTATTGTCACTTGCATCTTTGAAAATTTGCCTTCGTGAAAATCGATTTCGACCCGAAATAAGAGCTACGTTTGGTGAACCAGCTACGAAAACGCGCTGCACTCGAAATTTAGGAGCTCACAAATAAATATTGGCCCACCAAAATATCTAACATAATTTCGACTCTGCAAACTCCAAAATACAAATAAATGAAATCTCTCAAATATCAAAACGGAAACGTCAATAGAAAATTCCTACCTCAAAGCCGAAAATGATAGAAACAAAATAAATTGCTTACAAGATGCTATAATATTGGTTTGCAAAGAGCATCGCTTCGTCATTGCAGCAAGAATAGTGATAAATTATTTGAAGTTATTTTGTTGTGCATGGATCCCGCGGACCGCTTTTAAAATTGTTCAAAATTGCGTTTATGTCATATAGAGTCTCACTAAAACATTAACGTATACGGTATCGCATTGGGTAAAGTGATCAAGCGTTCGAGGGTAAAGTAGGGAAGATGCAATGCTTTCGAACATTCTTCCTGCGATGTAATTTGCAGTTAAAGATTTCACTATAATATTCTTGTAGATTTGATTAATTACATTCGTTCACACGAAAATGAAAAGAATTCTTCCTTCCCAATAGTTTTACGCACGATTCATGAGACCAAAATAAAGCTTCAAAGTGGTAATTAATTCCGTAATTTGTTGATAAATATTTTTGAGCCAAATTCCCCCCAAGAATTAATGGCCAAATGAAGTTGTACTGAGAATAGGATACTAAATTGGATTTCTCGGCAATGGCATTGAAGGACAATTACATGAATAAAATTTAGAATGCAACTACGTATGTAAAACGCAAATTTTGATTAGCCTTTTGATGCCTAAATTGAACAATAAAACCCTCATTGACATTTGTCATCTTTCAATTGATTGCCATTCAATGCAAGCTGCGTATTAGGTATTGAACATAAATGATTTCAAATTGATTAAATGGAGAAAATGAAAAAATTGTCAGCCTTCATTTCCCCGAGAATTTTGTTAAGGAAAATATTCTGTCTCACATAAAATATACACAATACTTGAATCAAGATTCTGCACAAACTATGATTGTGTTTAAACTCGCTTGAGCTGTCGAAGGAAAGTCAGGAATGAAAATTCTTGTTGTAAACCCTGGAATATGACATTAAAAGTTACGATTCGTCCGCAAGTGTCTACTTGATTAGAGGCAGGTGCGAACACCTGTACAGTGTGCAGTGCGCTCTTCGCTCCATATACGCACCATGCGTGACAGAATTCTGAAGGCATCTTTCAACGATGAAACTTTTATGGGATTATCAATCAGTGACAAGGGAAATATTTCGATAGTTCAAAATTTGTAACGTGAGGGAGCAAATACTTTCTCATACAGTAAGCACAGATCCATATCAATTATTCATCACTCCCCCAAGAATTAATGGCTAATTTTCTGTTACCAGCTGATAACGCGAATAGATACCAATAGATCGTGAATAGATACCAATAGATTCTGTTACCAATAGATAACGAGAACACCTGCTGCTACATGGACACGGTATCAAACCTCTGACATCAAAAGGGGTTCCAAAAATGCAACAAAACCTTACCGAATTACCCTGGCTGGGAATTAACCCCATTACTACTTCGAATTGCCCCTGGTGGTAATTAATCTATACTTTTTCGTAACTTATAAAGACGGTTTTAAATTATGATTAGGTTTTCTGCATAGCTTTATGTATAAACTAAAATTTACCGGCAAATAACTATATTTCTCCAGAGTAAAATTAATATTTTTGTTAACTCGATTCAATTAAATTTCAACTCCAAAAGAATGGCTTTACTAAGGATGAAGATGGCAGGGAATTTTGTAGAGTAAGGAAAGTAATTTTCCAGCATAAATAAAAAAAATAAAACAATGCAGTTATTATCAGGGCCTATACCTTCAAAAAAAGTTAAGAGATCGTAAGTTCATCAGCCAATCATTGGTGGCCTTTCAAGCAAAATCCACCAATCATGGACAAGAAAATAGAGAGTAAGTAATTACGTTCACTTAGTAAGTTTTGAAAGTATCGCCCCTGGTCTAATGAAAATAGCATTTGAATGATCTGCATTTATTTTTAATATCGGATGGCGCTCAGACCAAACCTATCATAAAAATGTTTTCCCAGAACGATTGTTGTGAACTTTACTGATCATCTGTGTATTATTTACTCTTTTTAACAAGAATTTAAACTAGATTGTATTACAAAATTTTAAATAATAAAACGTCCAATAAAAGAGACCTCATAAGTCACGTATTCTACGGCATGAGCTTCGAAATCTTGAATAATCGTTTGAATAAAATGTTATTGTTACTCATAACCTTGGACATATTTTGAATTAATACCACAAAGAATTTTTTATACTCTAAAAGTCCATTAACTCAAGCGATGAAATTTATGGTCTACTTCGATAATACTTTCAACTTCCATGCAATACTTTATAAGCTCCCAATTACATCCTGTGTGAGATATATCACAACATTAAGGAGTTTATTTCATGCGTCTAAAATTATTGATTCATTCGGCAACTCAATAAATTTATAGCACGAGGTTAATAGTACAAGATAATTATCTCATGTTAAGAATTCCATGCGTGGAGTCATTTACTTTGTTTCGATCGTTCAGTTGCCACTTTAAAAAATGCTTATAACTAAACTGTCATGTATGGCGACCACATCGCAGAGCAGGACATTCCAAATCTTCAATTATTGCACATGTTATTAACACCTTTACGGCAGTTGAGATGAAATAGATCAGAGTTATTGCCAGTCATACTGCAATAGAAAGGAATTAGTATAATATTATAAAACTAACATAATTGTAAAGAACTGTTATAAAACAAACACTTATAGTTAGTTGCCAATAACTACTAGCCATTGACAAACTGGTCGCACCGTAAGCTATATACCAACGCCACGAGTTCCTCGCTAAACCTAAAAGAAGTTAGTAGCTTATTGGTCAGTGAAGGATACAACTGTGACGTAGTCTTGGTCTTATCTGAACATCGTCTTTGTTCTTATCGCTCGCTTTCCCTGATAACAAGCTTGATATGCAACAGCAGCTAAATTAATATTGGATGATTCAATACGCAAGCCATATCTTCATTTGTGTACGTGACCTTAAGAAGGGCTTTTTTCAAACATGGGCATTTTCAGTTTTTCAAAGGGGTACTTTTATTGTAATGTGATCTACTGGAAATGTCGACTAAAAAATTGTATGTTTAGGAAAACTATAGTAAATAAAAAACAGTCCAATGA